CTGTCGATGAAGCCGTACTTAATTTAATTGAGGAATCCCCAGAAACTAGTACCAGGAAAATAGCTCGTGTCCTAAATGTAAGCCATTCGGTAGTTTTTAGAATTTTAAAAGAACAACAGTTATATCCCTATCATCTCCAACGGGTGCAGTCGTTACTGATTCGAGATTTTTTACCACGTGTGGTTTTTTGTCAATGGCTTATTAATATGATCGGCCAAGCGCCGCAGTTCTTAAGAAATATTTTATTTACTGACGAGGCGAATTTCTCAAGAGACTGTATTAGAAATTTTCGTAACAATCATATTTGGGCTGAGGAAAATCCTCATGACTTTTTTGAAGGAAATCATCAGTATCAATTTTCATTAAATGTGTGGCTCGGAATTATCGACGATCATTTAATTGGTCCCTATTTTCTTCCACGACGATTAGATGGTGACTCATATTGTCATCTTCTCGAAGAATTACCTATTATTCTTGAAGAAGTTCCCATTCAAATTAGGCAACGTTTATGGTTTATGCACGACGGTGCACCAGCCCACTTTAGTATACGTGCAAGACGTCACTTGGATGAGGTGTATGCCAATCGATGGATAGGTCGAGGAGGATATGTAAATTGGCCAGCCCGCTCCCCTGACCTTAATCCTTTGGATTTTTGCATATGGGGATATCTGAAATCTTTGATCTACTCAAGGCCAGTTGAAGATATCAATGATTTGCGAAACCGCATTGTAGCAGGGTGTGAAACGATAAAAAATTCACCAGGAATATTTGAACGCATACGCAATTCTATGAGAACAAGAGTAGATGCTTGTATTGAAGCTGAAGGCAATCATTTTCAACATTTTTTGTAGATTGTATTGTCAATATCCGACAGATTTTTATTTTTTGTTACTGTTATAACATTATTCATCATTTGTTCACTTTTAGTCTAAGTTCCAAACTTCTTAGCCTAGTAGAATCATAGGTCAACTATTTGGTTGAGTGTTTTTTAATAAAATGTTATTTAATATGACAATAAATGACATTGACATTTGTTTCTACGGATTCCATTGTAAAGAACAGGCCACTAGATCTTTCGGCAAAATACACTCGCGTTAAACAGCTCATCTTTTTAAAAATACATTACAATACATTTATTTTTTTTTGTCATAAATCCTTAACTTTTCGAAGAAACTTGAAGAGATCAAAAAGTTAGTAAATGAATGGGGTTTTTTAGACATATTTTTTAAAAGGAAAAAATTTTATCGAAAAAAAAATTATAAGAAAAAATGTCATAGGGGTTGATTATTTCAACCCCTTACAAAAATAGTTCAGGGTTGAAAAAAATTCAAAAAGTGTAGTTTTATTGACAGATAATGTTCACCAAGTTTGGTTTCTTTAGCTTGATGTACGTGGAAGATAAAAAAGAAAAACAATTTTTTTTTGTAATTTTAGGAGGGGCGTAACTTTTCAGGGGAGATTTTTTTCAGAAAATTTTATACCAAAGACCCCTATTAATTTTCATCGGAGAATCGCCCCTTGAATTTTTTCGGTGTTATTTAGATACACCCTGTAGAACCAATACAAACCTGTTATAGGCAATATACAACAAAGGGAAAGTAGATGAAGTGTGTATGTATTGGTATGAAACTGTTCAGCTTGTTTTGGTGTTATTTAGAACAGGAGTGATAAAGTGGGAACATAGTTAAATAATAATGTTTAAGGTTTTTAAACGAAAATCTTCATGTTACTTGTATTTTATCTTCTTCTTCCCATAATTAGTTCCACCACAAATACGAATATAGATAAACCAATCGCACTTATAAGCATCTTAAACACAGGTACTAAGTGTTTCATTTTTACCAAAGAATCCGAATGAACGTATGGTTCAAATTTATCGAAAGTGTCTCTGCGCCATTTAATGATTAATCCAGAAGAAATAATTCTTCCCATTACTCTGTTGATCTCCTCCAGTAAAGGAAAATCTTTCCTTACGTACATAGTTAATAGGGACTCGTAAATATGCCGATGAGAACAGTAGATCATGGACTTTGTTTTATATGGAACTTCTTTCTTCCCAAGAAAAAAATTTTTGTCCAGCTTAGACAAAAAAAGGGCGCTGTTCTTATATGCAACTCTCTCTAAGCACCTAGTTACGTTCAAACACCTTTGAACAGATCTTGAGTCTAGGTAATTTAGTTCTGGGCTGTCAAAAATATTTAGTACGGTAGAGGCAGTGTAAATCTTCAAATTATTTTTTAATATTTCATCAAGGTTCTCATATTTCTCATTATATTTAACAACAATAAGCCTACTGGTTAATCGTGATGAACAAAATCCGTTTAATATAAGTGATGTGATGCTGAACGATATGATTAGTAATCTCACACTCCTTGTCCTTGGTAAAACTCGAACTGACACCCCTATTAACACGGAAAAAGTTTTTGTCAAGGAGTTTAACAGGTTTTTATAAGAAAGCGATTCGTTTTGTGCAACGTTGCTTATACACCATACGGCGAAAGACGTACCAAAATAAAAGCTCACTACGCTTATGACGAACCTGAATGTAAGAGCACTTTCAAAGGCTCCGTCATAACTGAAAATTGGCGCGAGAGGTGCACACCATGTAATTTTTTTACGCATGTAGCTTATAGTACCTTGGAAGTATTTAATTCTATCTTCGAACATCGAGTAACCTCCAAATAAAATGTCAGCTGCACCTTTTTGTAGCAAATGGAAATTTCCTGCTGTTGTTCCATTTCGATAAACCACACCTAGGTTCCTTGATTCAGTGTAAGTAACTGTTAAATGTAAATTAGAAGCGACTGTATTTAATATCATTCCTTCAATTCCTATGACTTTCTCGTTGTCTTTCACAAAAGTTGTTAAAGGTGGTCGTTTTGTATGAAAAGCTTTTACTGAACAATGCTCAGACGGTTTATTATCTACCAACAGCGACTTATTAAAGAAAATCCCATAAGAACAGTAACTGATATGTTGTAGAGGCTTGACACAGGATTGAACAAAGGTGTGTATTATATAACTTGTACTATTGGATGAGTCTTTAAAAACTATTTTGACGTTTCCCCCGTTTTCATTAAAAAAGTATTTCATTATCTCCCAAACTATTTGTAATGGATCCTCAAGTGGCAGTTGAAATATAACCAGAAATTTATGACTGCGGTTCTCAATCGATAATTTCTTTAAAACCTGAGTCAGTCGATGGTATGTCGTTGCAACTAATATGAAAACAGTTGGGCGGTTGAGTGTAGAAGTAAAATCGTTTTTATTGAAGTTATCAGTTGTGACAGTCCAACGTTCTCCATCATGAAGACGACGTACTAACGAAATATCTGAAGGGTGAGATAAAATATTAGTGTTACTGGTAGATAACAGATAAGAATTAGTTATGATTCTTATATGATCTAATTTGAAGCGTTTGACGAGTTTGTAGACGCATCGATTCAAAGAATTGTCTTCGTTTGTATGCACCAAGGGCAATTGCAAGACTCCGCGACAGGAAATGATCCAGATTGGCACTGAAACAAATAAAACATTGGAGTTTTCCCACAGATTAATTAACAACATTGAGCAAATGATCCGCAAATTACGAACTAGTTGTCTGTTTTCTCTTACGTCTAATACTTTTTGAGATCAATTTCAATACCTTTGGGAGATTTTCCTTACTTCCAGAATAGACTACAAGTACAGTCCGTATAGTATTTGTTGAGGTAGAATGTCAAGAAAAAAATAAACCAAGCCAATAAAGTAGAGTAAGATTTTTTCCTACAATGTTTGCTAAAAGTTATGCCATCCCTCCAATATTAAACAAGAAACAATTTTTTTTACCGTGGTACTCAGAAACTATTTCAGATCGTCTTTAAAATTGGTACAGCAATCGTTTTAGAAAAAATATTACTCTTGTTTTTTGTTTGTTTAATGAAAAGAATCGAATATTTTTCGAACTTTCGTATTAGAATTTATTTCTATTCTAATTAAAATATAGTAATTAATATTTTATACTTACATAAAACAATACAAATTTTACAACATATCATGTTTTTATCAATTCTGTACAATTGAATAATATAAATGTTATGACTTGGTTTGGTAACAAAATGATATTTTAATTAAGGTGAATTATTTTATATAAATTTTATAGAATATTGGTGTTCCAATTATTATTGCATTAGTGATAATTTAAAAAGTATTACAGCTAGTTCTGGCTATACCTAATCTTAAAAATCAAATTATCAATGAACGTGTTACTTTATTCGTAATTTGTAATGTCTCTATGATATAAAATATGAATTTTCCTGTTCGTAAAATTCGAATTTGGGCAGTCAAAATAAGAAATGTTGACGGAGAGTTCAAATACTGAAATTTGTATAAAATTTCACATTTTCTGAAACACCTCCATCCTTGAGCTAATAAATTAATTAGGTCGATAAATTCAAGTTTGAAAGTAGTTATTCACACATTTTGCGTTGAAAATCTTTGTAAACCAACACTTTCCAATACCCTTTCTACTTTTTAATTACCAAATCGAATTCTTTTAGCGATATAAAACTAATAACTTTTTACTAAGTACAACATTCTCATTTCCAATAAAGTGTCCAACTTTGATATCGATTTTCAAAACGATGATAACATGAATTAATGAATATTTTTGTGTAGAATTTTCCTTTTTAATGGAAGTACATAGTACCTATGTATGTATCCATATATCGAGAAAATCATACAATGAAAGTTATTATACTTCGGAGTAGTTGAAGAAATTAACTTTGATAATTTAAATCAATCTTATATCTCTAAAGATAAAAAAGTCAGACCCATAAACCATATAGCAGCTTGATTCTTGAGCAAATTTTTACAGTAGTTCCAGAATAATTGATTTTAGGAACTTATAAATTAACCTTTATACGAAATACAGCTAAGGTGTATATTGGGTTGCCTATATTGGAAAACTATGGGTGTAAAAACTTAAAAACATAACCTTTGAAACCTAACCTATACTATAATAACAGAGTTACAAAGTACACTGTAGTTTGTGCTACCATTTTATTTTCCAATTATTTATTCCTTAATGTAAAAAAAGCATATGGCTTCTATTACTAGAATTAAACATATTAAAAACATATTTAGTAAATCTGTCTCAGTAAACATTTGTGTTAAAACAAGAAATTATGTCTCCGTGGGCAAAGTAACCATTGGAAATATTGAAAAAGAAATAACTAAAGCAAAACATCCTGAATATGTCCCCATAAATTACTGTAAGTGATTGTATATAATTTAATTACAATTTTTGGAAAAATATATTATCGATTCCAGATGTTGACGGTACTCCGCAAAGTATGCTGCACCATCTAAAATGGATGATGGAGAAAGACATTTTAGGTCAAGATATGTTCCTTTTGGGACCCCCGGGGTCAAGAAAACGAGTATTAGCTATGCAGTACCTAGAATTAACAAATAGAGAATATGAATATGTAGCTTTAAGTAGAGACACCACAGAGTCTGATTTAAAACAACGCAGAGAAATTATTCAAGGGTCAGCTGAATATTTTGATCAGGTACAAGCTCATTCAATGAAATTTAATGAATATGTTCTTCGATTTTGAAAATGTAAAAAAGTGAACTTTGGACTGCTTATTACGAAATGCAATAATAATTGTTTTTAGACTATCACTTATGAAAATTTGATTAATAGATAGTCCAATATTATATAATATAGTACCATAGTTATGATTTTATGTATTAAGTTGATTACAGATTTTTTTATAGAGTGCCGTAAAAGCAGCTTTAGAGGGAAGAATTTTGATCCTAGAAGGAATTGAAAAGGCAGAAAGGAACGTTTTACCAGTGTTAAACAATTTGCTTGAGAATCGGGAAATGCATTTAGAAGATGGGAGGTTATTGATTTCTGCTAAGCGATATGATGATTTACTAAAGGTAAATAAATTACTCTTGACATGTTAACAAAATGATTTATTTTGTGAAAATTGTTAAACATGTCTAGTATTTATTTATTGTCATATTTTTTTTCTTTTACAGGAACACGGTGAAGAAGAATTAAAAAAATGGAAATTAATTAGAACTGATGACAACTTCAGAGTTATTGCGTTAGGACTGCCTATTCCAAAGTAAGTAAAACTTCCTAAATAATAATTCTATTGGGTCTTTTTCATTAATTTCAATTACACTTTTAATTAATAATGAATTAATTCATTATAGTATTCATAGATACTATCGTGTATGCTGCCAATTCCCCGCTCCTTTCACCCGCCACCGCTAAGCTATTTTGTACATAAACAGCTCAGTTGTGCAATTAAGTTATACTGTAGGTTTAGTGCTCGGTTTAGTGTGTGACCTAAGTCACCCAGTCACGGAAAACGACAGCCCTTGTTCAGATAAAATTATATTTTATTTCTCTCGATTTCTTTGAGAGTATGGTATATATTTCGCATCTAATATTTTCTAAATTTAAAACCACAACGAACTTTTTATGATAAAATAAAACCTAATTTATCTGAGTCCGGATAATACAAGTCTATCTACAGGTCCAATTCACCAAGTCTTCAATTTTGAAACTCTATTATCTCAGTTAGGCAAAGTAGTTCCCTGCCTGCCCATGCCTGTTTTTGCATTCAGAAAAAAAGGAGATTCAATATGAAATGGAAGCGGGATGACCAATTCATATAATAATAGTTAAAGTATTACAATAGGTATATAAGTTAGAATTCTTAAATCAGGGTCATCACTTAAAAAAAATGTTGTTCCTAATAGAAAAGTAATATATTAAAAGGAAGAAAGAAAAATTATCTGTAAATATTAACTTTATTCGCAATAATTGGATGGTAGCCTTTTCATGATGGTGAATGTAGGGTATTTTCTGTGAGGTCTTCCTAACATTTATATGTATTTTATTAAATATAATTAATAAACAATTTTAGCAAGTAACAGGTGTATTGTGTATTAGTGCATAAAATAAATTTAAATAATATGTAACGCTGGATATATACAGTGTGTCCCTTTAAGTTCTGTACAAATGGGTAACTTTTTTATTATTAATTTTACGGAAAAAGGTATTCTTTAGGTTTTGGCCACCCTATCTAAAGTTTGAAAAGTTTAATACAATTTTTTCAAAAAGCAGAACTTTTTATAAAGAACATCTTTTTTTTCATCAAATTGATAATAAAAAAGTTACTTATTTGTAGAGAACCAAAATAGACAAAAAAAAATAGAAGGACGTTATAAATCTAAACTTAGACTTAGTTTTTAATTCCAAGTAACATTTTCCAATTACATTTTTCTCTAAAATAAAAATTAATTGTACTTCTCCTTGTCAAATTTGATTTTTTTTTTAATTTTTGGCCACCCTGTATATGCTATCTCAAGTTTGAAAAGTTTAATACCATTTTTTATAAAGAATACCTTTTTTCGTAAAATTGACGATAAAAAAAGTTAGCCATTTGTAGAGAACTTAAAGGGACACACTGTATATTTTAATTACTTTTTATGAATTTCTAAATATGCGCAGGGGTATTCACATAACATTCTGCCCCCCTTATCTATCCACAAAAAAATTGGTATAGACTGAAATTTGAGGAAATTTTCTTGCAGTCTCAAAAAATAACAATTGAAGGTTACATTTTGAAGTAAGTGAAATTTTTTGATGATTTACATTACCAGAACTTTACAACTTTACAAACTGTAGGCATTTATTTTATATTTCAAATTTGCCGTTTAAAAAATGTGACATGTTATTTTTTTTGTTAGTTTTTATAGGTACTTTCATGGTTAGTGGTATCATATGTTTTATTATTTCTTAGTTTTCTTTCAATATTAGTAACCAACAAAGATCGCGATTTTTTTCAATTTTCTTTAAAAAACCCATAGTGGTAAATGAACCCAATTGAATCTTGTTATTAGCAAGTCCAGATTTCGACATAATATTATCAAATTCTAATCAAAGAGAAGAAAGTTTTTCTTGAGGATGATAATTAAGTATTCACTACTTTTAGTGGCGGCTTCTCTTCAGTTTTGTGAATAAAATTATCATGGGCGTAGCAAGGGGGAGCAGGGATGTGCAAGGCCCGCCCCAGAAAAAAAAGATCCAATCTTTCTCGTATCGGTAAGTCGCTGACTGCGCTACCTTTTCTTTAGAGGCCTCCATAAAGCTTGCAGCAGCCCAAACAAAAATCGAAAAAAATGCTGACTATTAATTTAAAAAAAAAATGTTCCTGTGACTTTGTAGTCTCCATGCCTGTGACATTCGGTTTTGTTAATTCGCCAATTCACTCTCCAAGTGACGTCATGCGCCAAGCGAACCGATTTTGGTTCACGGGAATATCGTATCTTGTATTCTTTGTATCATGGATTAATCCGGCCCTGGTACGATAGTCGGTAGACTAAACCCCTGATACCGACAGACATTGTGTTGCAACTATACTTTACTTTTCCGCCCTAATGATACATAAATTGGTGACACTTTAATTTTGAAATCGTCCATTCTGCGGATGATTAATTGCTAAATAGTTCGTTCCCCCGATGGAAGATATTTCTTGATGACCGAAAAATAGACAACTTTTACATCGGGTATTCATTTAGGTAATGCCTTATATTTTTCAATATTGACAGGAAGACAAAAGCAAATTTCTCGGCGCCGTTGCGCTCTATTCCTGTACACTTGTGAAAATTAATTTTTTACACCTGCAAAGGAAGTTTTAAACGTACCTACTGACAAACGCCATTTTAAGAGGGTATTTTGTATTGTTTACAGAGGGTAACTAAAATTGACCTTTGATAGGTTTCGAAATACTGGACATCTAAAATTATTGAATTATTGGTTCTATAGATTGCAAAAAATTATTGAGGGAAGTTGTGAAACTATATATTTTTTTTTCATTAACGGATAGCGAGATTACCTACATGATTTGTTTCTATTAACACCTTGTCGCTCTTTTAGTCTACACACATTATGACATTTTATCATTTAATTTGAATTAATTATTTTGCGCTCTATAATATTAGTTTAAAAAAGCAAAAAATTCTGTATAGTTTTAATTAATATAAAAATTTAAATAAAAATAAGTACATTATTTATTTGTTTAGATAATTGAGACGTTTTATGTAAAACAATCAGATTGAATCAGTTTAGTTCCTCGATTTAACCAGTTTAACCATATATTCTTGGTATTTTTGAAACCACGATTTTACAGAAGTATTTTTTTTCTATGTCCAAAAAGTCCATTTCATTTATTACCCCATCAGAAACATTTTACTTTTGAGTTGACTCCATTTTTTAACAAAGTTTTATTTGACAGCAAACATGAAAATTTAGTTAACTGACAATGAGCAGAAATCCTAGCACAGGGGATGTGTTGAAAACTATATTACATAATTCACATTGTAGATATTTTTCTAATAGCAAATAAATAAAATTACTAGATTTAATTTGTTTCAGATATAGAGGTAATCCGTTAGATCCCCCATTACGATCACGGTTTCAAGCCAGAGATGTCTTCGTAAATTCATATCAGGTAGGAGATAAAAAACCAATAGCCTTAATTTTTCTTAATTTCTGAGAGAAAGTGAAAGTTATATAACCGATATAGTCTTAACTCAAAACTAAACTAAAACTAAACTAAAACTAAACTAAAACTAAACTAAACTAAAACTAAACTAAAACTAAACTAAAACTAAACTAAAACTAAACTAAAACTAAACTATAACTAAAACTAAAACTAAACTAATACAAAACTAAAACAAAACGAAACTAAAACTAAACTAAAACTAAACTAAAACTAAAACTAAAACTAAACTAATATAAAACTAAACTAAAACTAAAACTAAAACTAAACTAATACAAAACTAAAACAAAACGAAACTAAAACTAAACTAAAACTAAACTAAAACTAAACTAAAACTAAACTAATATAAAACTAAACTAAAACTAAATTAAAACTAAACTAAAACAACTAAAACTAAACTCAAACTAAACTGAAACTAACTAAACTGAAACTAAACTAAAACTAAACTCAAACTAAATTAAAACTAAACTAAAACTGAAACTAGACTGAAACTAATACTAAACTAAACTAGAACTGAACTAAACTAAAACTAAACTGAACTATACTAAAACTGTAACTAAACTAACTAATTAACTAGTAACACTAGTAAAAAAAATTACTAGGGGCTAGTAACACTAATATCAAACACTATAAAAAATCTAATAACACCAATAAACATTTGTTTTCTTTCCATGTCATCCTAAGATACCGGTATGCAAAAAATATTCTTAATATTACCTACAACTGCCGAAATAATGCATGGGGCTACTATTCTTACCCACCATGTAGGAAATTCCAATCTTATCTTACAAATCTGCGCGTACCCGTTGAATCGTGTGTGCCATGCAGTTCCTTAATCTGGCCGGATCGTGGTTTCTGTATCTCCGTCTTTATTTCCGGGGGAAATGTCCTGGGTAACGGTCGTGCCTGTCCCCACGGGACTTTCATTTCGATCTGAGGATAACCGGTGTCGCGTGCAAACATGTTGTGTTTACTAGACCGCTGCCGCAATCTAATAAAGCAACCAGTTAAGTGATGTAATTAGTGACGGGACAAATTAAAACGAAATGGTAACGCATTGGGAATCGAGCACAAGACCGCTTTTTGTGAAGACCGTTTGGCGGGACGGTCAGCATCACGTGGTGCTGCGGAAGGAGGAAGATTCGATTTCAAGGAGAAATACAAATTCATCCAGTCACAACAGCGCGAGAAGCGTTAGATCCGCTAAAAAAACATCCTCGAGCAATAAACAAATTTCAGCTTCGGTCAAGTTAGTACTAGCTGGTGTGGGGACATTCAACTCAGGGGAGAAAAAGTTGATACGGTGCAAAAGCAGTATAAAACCGCTAGACACTAGTCTAACTTCTCCCAAAGGAACTTCCGCTGCTTTTAGGCACCTAAACGGCGTTTTGAATACAACGACGGAGAACAAAGCGGCCAGGAACTTGAGCCTATGTATCAAATCGAACAGCATAGATATAAACGGGGAGCGTGAAAATTACAATAAAGTCGGAACTATGTCGCCTTACTTTAGCTGCAATAATTACATAGATCCTTGTAAAGATTCCTTAAGTGAAAGGGTGATGGTGTGGCTCGACTTGGCTATACAAAATGGAAATTACACGAAGGAAATTAAAATACAACCTCAACGCATTGTTACTGCCTGCCACATTTCGCAACAGCTACGACACACCCCAACGAAACGCCAGAGTGTTGTTAACTGTAAATTAGATACGAATTGTGATAGGAACGAGCGTAGTTCTCCTGGTGAAGGCACTTCGCGAGATTTGCGATCCGGGAATTCTTCAGTTTCGAGTCAGTCTCTTGCTTTAGAGGAAGAAAACGTAGTTTCGAAGGAAAATAGTGCGACTATACGCCAGTTATCTTCGGAAGTTGAGGAGAGTATTGTGGTAAAGGATCTGGAACAAACTTTACCGCGGAAGCAAGTTAATTCGGTTAAAAGACAGTTACATATTTTCATGCCTAATTTGCCCAACAAATATAGCGATTGTGATAGTAGTATACTAAGTAGTAAAATAAGCACGAGTTCTTTACAACGTTCTAAAGATTCTAAGAAAAGTAAAAATAATTTTAAATAAGATTTTCGTGTTGAAATTTAAAAAAGGGAAGATATTTTATATAAAAAATCATTTTTAGCTGCGGTATATTTCATTTATAATCAATAATACATATGCAGCATGCTCTGTTCAAGGTTTTAACGAACTTTTTTTTGTTAGATAGATCTTGTAAATGCATATTATTGAGGATCTTACACTTGCCATTATGACCATTATTTTTTTGCAAGAGATTCTTATTCTTAATTTTTAAAATCGGTATTTACCACTACTTCAAAAAATTAAGAACAGGTTTTTAATATCTGAAGAACTAAACAGTTTTTAATTGTTTTTTGCCATAACTACAATTTTTCTAAAGCTGGGCGTTATTTGAGCAATATTTACAGGATTTCTTTAACAGGACACGTATTTAAATCAAATATAAATATATGTGAATAATTTTAATAAAACAGACTTTGTGTTTGGGAAAAAGGGATTGTTAGAACATAAAAAGTAACATTTTCTCTTATTTTAGGGTTATTGTCTTTTACCCATACAGGGCGTCAAAGAAAATTTGTATAAATTAGGTTTTAGCCATGTTTGCAAAAAACAGCACGACGTATTAAAATTTGGTAGTAATAAGTTTTCTAGGGTGCTGAACGACGCGACGTAGTGTTAGTTTTTGACATCTGCCAGAGGTCGCTAGCTACGACCCTACCCAGTGACATTTTATAACAACTTTTTTGAGATTAGGTATATAATGTAAAATTTCATTTTAAAAAACGGTATTTAACGTCCAGTATCTCAGAAACAGAAGATGATATATCCTTGGTCTATAGGAAAAAAATTGTCTTATTTTTGATGTTCTATTGGCCCCTGAACTTATGATACATACCTTTTTCCAAAACACACTATAGAACGAAATGCAGCTAACTTTATTTTCATACTGATTGAAATTGAACGATGCTGTAAAATATTTTGTATTGATAAAAATTACTGATTTTGTTAATTCGGTATAATATTAATGAAACTGCAACGAATAAAAAAAATGTAAACAGTTACATAGTGTTTAATTTCATCAATAATCATCAAAGCTATGACCATTTTTCTCTTCCTTGTACATACCTACGTATTAAATTGTTATATCATGTTTGTCAGCTATAAACTTAAAATATTTTTTCTGCGATGGAATTTAACAATATATCGAATGAGTTATTTGTCGACATTTTTTGTTAGTTCAATAAAACAAATTGCCGCCGAGTTCATACATAGTCAATTCCTGGATGTACGTATATATAAATTTCCATAAAAAATAGCAAATGTCAAATGTCTAGACCATTATAATTTATAACAACAAAGAAGCATGTTTATGCTCAATTTCAGATCGATAGCTTTTTTCTATTACACCGTTTTGCACAAAGTATCCTTGTAATAAATAAAAATATTTATTAGAGAGATCGTTGAGTTACATAGAGGCTCAATGGAATATTGTAGGTACAAAAAAAAAACGAATAGATTTGTAATTTTTATGTCAGTAACGGACGAATGATGAATTATGAAAGTTTATGTTTACCTAAGCAAATATATTCTTTTGATCGATGTTTCATTTAGATATTTACATTACTATTATTAATATACAAGGTGCGGCATTAGTGCGTCGAAGTACGATATCTCCGATATTATAGAAGATATTAAAAAAAATTATTTACAAAAGTTGTAGCCAACTTGAAACTGCACATTTTAAAATTATTTTCGTATATACTTACAGGGTGTTGCGTATTACCAGGGTGAACCAAACATACTATTTTTTAAATGGGGCACCATGAGTTTAAACTCATCTCTCCTATGCTTCCAATGTAGGGTTTAATTATGTTATACAGGGTATTTCAAAAGTTATGGTCAATTGTATACGAGAATCATTCCCATTTCAGAGTCCTGTATACCCTAGACAACAACTTAGCAATAATTGTTTGCAGGCTTAACTTTTTGATATTGGTATAGTTTTACGAGAAGGTGCTATTTCTTCATTATTGCAACAGTTGAATATAGGGCGAGCCAAAACTCGAGCACATCATTTTCTCAATTTTTTTAAATGAATCGCCCTGTATTTTATTTTAAAAACTGAAAATACATTTTATGTTCTTTCATTTTCATCATTATCATTAATCATTAATTTCTGCAACCTGTGAAAAAAAATAATGTGTGGTCCTTTATCCTGGTCCCAATGGTAATTTTAACGAAAATAGCATTGCCTAACCAACAAATCTCTGAGTGAAAAATGCAGACAAAAAAACATCACTATTTTTCATTTCTGTCGTTTTTTTTGAGATTTCAAATAACTGTTTTAATAGCGAACGTTTTAATCTTTTGGAAATAAAAAAAAATAATTCTACATCATAAAAAAAAACGCCAATAATGGAAAACGCTCCGTATCTCTAAAACGGTTTATTCTTTTGTCTGCTTTCTTCAGTGTGAGGCAAAACTATTTTCATAAAAACTAACCCTTGTCTGATACTTTTGGCGCTTGCATTTGTTTTACTCACGTCTTTTTTTTCTCACAAGTGACAAATTTCCAAAATAATTAACGAGAAAACTGTTATCGTGCCACAAACAATATAAAATTTTATATTTCAACATAAGAAATACAAATGTGTTCAAGTTGGTACCAGTTAGATACACATTAAGAGGCATGCCAACCGCTAATGTTAATATCCACGTGAGGCAAATAATTTCTGCAAATAAGTATTGACACCCGAACAAGTACCTAAGTCAAATCAATAGGCAAGAATAATTAATTTTAAATAGCCGCCAGTCACGTAAAGAACTGGATTGGATGATGGGAATGGGATATATATGATGCCATTACGTTCTATAGCAAGACAATTTATATATCCAGAAAACGATATATAGGTCTGG